GAGAGAGAAAGAGAGAGAGAGAGAGAGAGAGAGAGAGAGAGAGAGGGAGGGAGAGAGGAGATAAGATGAGTACATTGTGTATGATAGTATTAAAATTAGTTTATTAGTTTACTTGCTATCATCATCAGGAGAAGGTGACAACTAAAATAGAAATAAATAAATAAAATTAATAATAATAATAATAATAATAATAATAATAAAGTACATGAGTCCCTACCTGTACTGAGGTGATGTGTCCAGAGTGTCCACTAAGAACAGCTAAAGGAGATGAAGTGTGTCCACACCAAACCCTCACCAGTTTATCAAGACTACCAGTAGCTATCAGTGTGTTGTCCCAACACACTGAGAGGTCAGTTATTTCAGCATGATGTCCTCTTAGTGTTGTCACCAACTGACCAGTCCTGCTACACCATATCTTAGCTAGATCATCATCAGCACCCTAGGGAGGGGGAGGGGTGTAGGCAGGATTTTTTTTAAAAAGGGTGCAGATGCGCACCGCAAAATTTTGCAAAACCACACCCTTTTAAGGTGTGACCACACCTATTTTCCAATAAGGCAAACTTCCTTCCAAAAGCAGCTTATTATATTGTTACTTTTAAATTTTGATTTAAAAAGGGGGGCATTTTCCCCCTTTGCCTATGCCCCCTTGGAGGGCAGGGGGTTCAGGGGAGGGGAATGATTGGAATGAGAATACAGTGTACATGATATACCAGTAATGGAGGACTAACAGTAATGATCCTTTGACCAGTTGAATCAAATGAGAGACAAAACACTGGAGCAAGATGACCTAGTATCACTGTGTGCTGTGTGTGTAGGGTTACCATGGTAACGGGAGGGTTCGTTAATACATGTACATGTACCTTTTTCATTTTAGTGAAGTTGATTGGTTGAATTAGAAGAGAAGCCATAGAAGGAATGGAAGAAAGACGAGTTGAATGTAATAAAGTACCTAATAACAATAATAATAATAATAATAATAATAATAATAATAATAATAATAATAATAATAAACTTACAGAGGTGTAGTGTGCTATCTTTTTGTAAGTGATCAGTTGTGAAATCATGTTTTTGATTAGTTAACTTTAACAAACTAGAACTAACTGAGAGAGAGAGAGAATCAGAAAATGGAGGGTATGTTATATTGGACAATCACCAAAATAATTATATTAATAATCTTACCATTATTCTTATTGTTATTATTATTATAAATAAATGATGATATCTCATTCCCAATTAGTGAATGACCTCCTCCTCCTCCTCTTCTAATGGAACCTGATGACTCCAACTGAGAGCACAACTCATTACACAATAATAATAAATAATCTGAGGATATGTGGACATTTCTCTTAGACTAGAGAGAGAGAGGTTCATTAATAATTAATTATTGACCACACCCACTAATTAAATATGCGCGTTTCACCATAGATATTATAGACTACGTAACCGGGATTGGAAACAAGGTCACGTGATCCATTCAAACCAGTACAAACCGGCTGACACAGGGTCCGTGATTGGATTTTGGTGGGTGTGGTCAAAAAATGGCTACTCATCGACGACATTCAAAGGAAGACTGTATTTAAACCAATGTTGATTTTTTGTTATTTTAATAATATTTCAATACTTTAGTGTTTGTGTAACATGACTATAATGAAAAAAATAATGATACCATTGTTATTTTGCAAATATACTGTGATATTGTTCAAATTTCTGTTACTTGCAAATTTTCAAAACTTTTTGTACCTGTTGCTCCATTACACGGGTAAAAATAGACTAACAAGATCATTGGAAATGTTTCTACAATCATTGTGCATGGAACTGTCATAGTTTCATTTACTGATTTGCTATGTCAGAGGAGTAATATCTGAAATACTGTTTCTGCGAACAGTCCACTGTCGTACCTGTTACAGCTTTTACAAAACAAGCAGAGGTTTCTCCTTTTGGGTGATGATAGGGTGATATTGTGTGCATGGAATTGGGGGGGTTAGCATTTTAATTCATGCATTGTATTTGACTACAGTACTGCTTTAAAACCAAAAATTCATTATTTCCGCATAAAAAGCAAGCCACATGGTCAAATTTATTCTATTTAACGCCCAATTCAATCACGGACGTTGTCCACCAGGGAATCCTAGTTTCCAATCCCGGTTACGTAGTCTATAATATCTATGGTTTCACACTTACAATATAATAGAGCGGTTTCAGTGACGTCACCTTATGACGTCATAATTACTTCCGTATGGCAAAAATTGATGAGCCTCACTCGTTTACAGCAGTAAAGTTACTTCTTCTATAACTTCTTTCATACAGTACAAGGCAGAAAATGAGTAAAGTTATAGCAGTAGTAAGCAGAAAAGTAGCGATAGAAATAATTATAGGAGTAACAAGACAAGGCTGTGTTCACTTCGGCCGCTTCACTGGTTCTCTATCCGAGGAATTTTTGCTTCCTTTGCATCCCTGGGTTT